GGAATGCATGTACAAAGAAAAGCAGGAAAATAGAAGCAGTGGAAATTAACATCTTCTACAGCGTGGTGATAACTTCCCTTGTGCCTTCACCTCTGGAGGCATCTGGAAAACAGTACTTGGCCAATATGCCTTTGATCATCATCTGGCCTCCTTTTCTCTAAAATAGACAAGTCTGAAGTCCTTAACAGTTCCTCATAAAGCATTCCTTCCAGCCCTTTCACCAACTTTGTTGACCTCCTCTGGATGTGTTCAAGGCCTCCACACCCTTCATAAACTGTACACAGTATTCAAGGTGGGGGCCACACCAAGATTGAATATGGTGGGATAAATGACCCTTTTGACTGGCTGGTTATGCTGTGTGTGATGCACTACAGGATGTGGTTTGCACCTTAGCATGATTCATGCACACACGAGGGGGGCGAGGGGGTAGAGGGTAAGAGAAAGTAAATAAAACCTTTTCCTGAAATGATTATCAACTGTTTTCTTGCTCAGAAACTTCTGGGCCTCTCAGCTGTGTGCTATAAAAATCTAATACTAGTTTCCTGTCAAGACCATATTCTTAACGCTGGCAGCATTCTTCCAACAAATACCCCTTGCATTATATTTGCAGAGATTCACTTCTGCCCTAGCTGTGTGTACTGCACTGAGGGACTTCGTTATTCTTGATGAGGTGAAAAAAGACTAACTGGCACAAACACTGGCTTTATTGAAGCCTTAGGATTGCCTTTGGATACTGGGCTCCCTTGATAGCAGCCATTAACACCTTCCAATATAGTATCATTAGGCTACTAATAATGATTGTAATCCCTTGTTGAACTTCACAGGACCTGTTTTACTTAAAATGTAATGGGAAATCACATGTGAACTGTAGATCAGGGTTTCTGTTGTCACTGTTGTCATTTGCTGCAGCATTCTTTAGATATATTAGGGGATTGCTTAGTATGAGGCATGAATTCCAACACAATTTCATATAAATATTTACATTATATATATAATGAATTGATGGATGGCCCAGTAGCACATACTAGAGAGTGTGGAGTCTGGTCAAGAGTGTTTATTGCCAGGTAAGCCTGAATTTAGCACAGGAATAAGGAAATGTAGTCAGCAGAGTGATTAATACTATCTGATAATAATCCTCTATCAGTTTCTCCATACATCCTCTTTGAAATGACAGATCTAAAGTACCCACAGTATTTTACAGTGGTCATTAGCGTTATGTGTGGAAATTGAAAGGGGCACATGTATGTGAATGTGGTGTGAAAAACTTGCGAAGTGATGCGATTATATAACTAAGAATTACTTAATCATGCTGGTGAAAGTTAATTGCATCATTCTCCGTGGAATAAATAACTTTATTCTCAAAAGACATTCATTAACTTTAAAGTAGCAAGAAAATGACAGCAGTAGCATAATAATCTGTAATTTTGATAATTTTTAAAATATTTTTTTTAGATTTATTTATAGCCTGTTTAACTAACCATAGAATTGATTTTCCTGACTAAAAGACAACTGATTATACCAGAGGGAGGGATCTCTAATGTTAACTGGTTAGTTTCAAATCTTGCCCTTTGTAAGTCAAAGCTACAGTTTCACTGAATTCAGTTGTTTGTTACTTAAGTGGGGTTTGGGGAAATAATTCCTATAAATATGACAGTTTAGGATGGATGTATTTGTTCAACTGAGTTTCAAAGGTTGAAATATTTTAGTATTCTAGGAAGGACAAAGAAATTAAGAAATTATAATATTATAAGATGGGTCTTGGTTAGATTTGTATTAAAGTAGCAACTTTGAATAAATGCAGTAACAATACTAGAGGTTAACGGTCTCATTTTCAAAAGGTTACTCAAAAAAGCTAAGTCATTTCAAAATGACAGCTTGCTGAAGAATGCCATACCTAGCTTAATAGGTTTGGATGGGAGGTGTGCTAAAATAAGATTAATGATATACTTGCATTTCCTTTTGTCTGTTTTTTCTGAACTTTCAGGCAGATTTAGAAAAATCTCCAGAGAGAAATGAATGGGAAAAAATAATTGTGCTAAAAAGCTTAAGCTGAACAATCAGAAAAAAATTAGAAAGTGGACTAATTGGTCTGTTACTTCATCGGGAAGAAAATACCAGGCAAAGAAAAGAAGAAAATAATTTGGGTTTGGTCCAAGTGTAGAAAGCATACAAAGCAAAATTGCAGGGTAGGAAACACATTTTGTACTTCAAGAGAAATACGATACAGTTCGGGGTAGATGAAGCGTGGCTACATAAAAAAGCAGAGTAGGGTCTTTAAACACCAAGACAAGGTATTGTAAAAGTAAGTTTTTGGAGGATAGGTGGCAAAATGTCTGCCCTAGGTCTCATTGCTGCTGAGCCAAAAAGTGACTGTGGATACTTTTGTGGCTTCTGTGATGTCTCTTCAGCAGCACAGGAGGGGCAATATGTTAAGCTGAACTGCAACTTTAATTACATTATAGAAGTGGCAGGAGGTCAATAATATTTGTAATATGAGCATTTGTGACAAATCAATTGTATAATGAAAGTGATTATAACATTATTAGAAGTCTGATAACCCAATAACTTTGTGGTAATTACTTCTCAGTTACAGGGAATAATTTACCACAGGAGATGCTGGAATCTTAGATACAAATGCTAATATTTGTAGTCATATATGAGGCATATGTGCCATTTAATAGCAAGTTTGAATCTCATCATTCGTTTGAACATTGTAGATTCTTGACAAGCAAGAATTGGGTTTGGAAAGGTAATTAGTTACACACAGTCTTTGGGTCCCTAAACTTGAGAAATATCACTTCAAACCTTAAATAGGAAGGTGATAGGGGTTGTTTTGGTATTTGGTTTTGCTTGCATGCTTACTAGGGCCAAGGCAAGGGGAGGGCTGTAAACAAGTGGTGGATGGCAGAAGTTGAGAATGAGAGCCCACTTTTTGATAGCAATTAGCAAAGGCAGTGGTTTATATCCCACATGAAATTGTACCACACTTCTGAAAATTAATTTGTACTCCTAATTAACTTCTAAGACACTGCCCCTGCCTCCATGACTATTTATTTAACCTATATAGAGGATTAAACTAATTGTTGGGAACTGTGCTTCTGAAGCAAATAGTAGGTTGTGTTCTAAGACTATTATGATTTATTATTTATGAAACTGTACTTTTTGAAGAAAGGACTGTCATTCCCTCTCAAAAAAGTTCTTACGCCAGACTATTGACTAAGAAGCAAGAATTAATTTTTAGTTCTGTATATTTAGTACTTCCTCTGCTAACAAGTGTTTTCTATCCTGTATATCATATGACATGAATGAAATATAAAAAAAAAATATGTATGATGCTGAAAACAAGGTATGTGAAGACCAGCTTGCTTGTGTTATTCCTGAACCTGATGAAGGAAATTGGTGTGCATTCACATGGTTTCTTATTCACTTGCACATAGGGTGTGATTTTGCTTGGTAGTTGTTAGTCAGTTTTGTAGATGGTTGTTTTGGAGATGCTTAAAATGCTGACTGTTCAAGCTAGGTATTTTAAAGAAAAGTATCATAATAAGGGAGAAGGAATAATATTGGAATTACAGGAGTAGCTATGGAATTAAGTAACAGAATTTTGACTTATGGGGGATTTTAGTTATCTTCAACTGATTTTATGTTGTATGTTTTTGTAAATAAAATTTCCATCCCTCTGGAATATAGCTGTTGAAGAGAACGAATTGCTGGTGGTCACTGATTCTATCACATCGATTGGAGTGTCACGACGCAGGGGTGTTACATTTCATTCCTCACTAAGGTGAGGAATTCTGGTCCATAAAAAAAAAAAATCTCCATGACAATGTGTTAATCCTTTGTGTAAACAGCATGCTTTCTCCTTTCATATTCGTTACTCTGAGGAAGAACATCCTCTTCTGTATACGCATATGTGCATTTAGACGAGCGCACACATATATAGTAACCATTTAAAATTAAATGTGTTAAAGAACTGAAGTTGATTTTCTGTAAGAAGACAAAATACAGAAGACACCCAAGACCTAAACTTGACAGAGTTCCCACTGCTGTCCTGTGATGCATTAATTCAAAAAGAATCCTTCTCTTTGCATTCTGTGCGCCCAAAGTGTTTGCCTTTGTTTACATTTGGTGCTGTTAAAGTGCACGTTATGCTGGATTCCCCTGGTATTTGTCCTTGTGCATCCATGGCACACCCTGTTTCTTGATTGCTGTTTTCCTGGTCTCATCTTCATATTTTACTAGTCATTTCTTCCCATCAGGTAGCTAATTGTGGAAAAACTAATTATTAAAAGTCTGTAGAGCCTGCAGGAACCCATTAAAAACTCTGCTCTCCTGATGAGGATTTTCTGCTTAGACTTTCAACTCAGATTTGTCAGTTAATCAGTTTTTAATCTGATTAGCACATGACATATATTGACTTTGTTTCATTCGAGGTTTTCAGTCAACAATTCAGGAAGTAACAGGTCTAATTTATCCACAAAGAATTCTGACTGCATCAAGCAGTTTTCTTTTTAATACAAACTTTTAATCTCATCAAGTTAGTTGAGATGCATTTTCTGTAAACATATCCTGGTTGACATTAATTAGATTAGCATTCTTTAATTATTTTTTTATGAAGATATAATTGGATTGTAGTTTATTTGTGCAAATTATTATAGACTGGAAAAATATTAAAAAAGGTGAGGTTTCTGGAAATAAGTCTGTTTCACTCTGTTTTCAAAGTGATTCAGATTTGGGGTATGTTTGGTGTTTTTTCAGCATCTTTTGTCATGGAATCAAATGTCCTGATGCTAAAACGTACTAGTGCTGTTGTACTTGAAAGGAAGGATTTAGTTTTAATGGGGATTGGTGATAGGCAGGAATGTGAGGTTTGTTTGGTTTTGGTTTTTTGTGTTTTTTTTTGTTTGTTTCTTTGAGTTTTTTTTTGTGTGTATGCCCGTAGTAAACAGTGTAAAATTAATCTCTTGCTACCTCAGTAAATATTTTTGTTATTTTTACAGGTGGTGGAAATATGTTCACAGGAGTTGAAGGCCACTGTCAGAACTTCCAGCACCCAAGCTGGGGTAAGAGGCTTTCTTTCCATCTGTTTTATTATTCTAGATGTGAAATGTTTGTTTAGACAAATGTGTGGTTTCCTAATGGTAGTACTAAACTGAGAGATGTTTTGTTTTTTCTAAGTTCTGTGACAGGAGGTTTGAAACAGATAAACTGCATTCCTCAATATTTATCCTTGTCTATAGCACTGAATAAATTAAAATAAGAACTTGCAAATAGCCTCTGGTTATCCAAAATTTGTCATGTGTCTCTTGTCATGTCGTGTGCCCCTTGCCTCCTCCCCTGTAAGCAAGAAATTGTTTCATGTACATCTCTGGTATAACAATTTTTTACATTAATCAGTGTGTTGAGGCTGTACTGAGGTTTTTATTAGTGTAACCACTACTTGGATCAAAAAGTAATTAGAGAATCACAGAGAAAAGTGATTGACTACTTAAAGCAGTAAGCAGATTTTGAAGGTACTTAGGCAAACAGAAGTCTGAAGTCTTCTTGACTGGCATAAAAGAAGTTAGTGGAAAGAGGCTCTGGCTGCTTTTTAACACACTTTCAGGAAACTGCATTTTAGAGGCTCTTGGATCTGTTTCATGTTAGATCATTTTCACATTAGTTTCTTGCTAAAATTTTTAACATAAAGATGTTATGTTACCGTACATTTATGTGCATTAGAATGTAAGGCGAATCCTGTACATTTTAGGTACATGATTAGTACTTTGCCAGCAGTGGTGTGAACAACTTGCTTTCAATGAAAAATTTATTATATGTACTTAATATTGTATTGTACTTTTATATGTCCTTAATATTGTACTTAAATAGTATTTCCTGTGTGTAATGGTTGTTTCTCTTCACCTCTGTGGAGTTAATTCATGGGAAGAGTTGCTTGTAACTTTGACCACTCAGGCTAAAGTCCAGTAGCGGTAGGGGACATTCTGGGATCTCTCCTCCCCACCTCCAGCTGGAGAGGATCTGTTTCACTTGGGATACATTTGTTAAACCTCAATTAAAACTAAGGAACATCTCACAGCAAAGGGGTGTTGCATATCCTACCATGTATTACAGCACAGTGCTGAAACTGGTGAGGGACTACTTGTAGTACAGTGAGTAACATGCAGTTTCTGCCTGTGGAGAGGTTTTTGCGCAACCTCTGTCTCCAAGAGGTTAAAAGTCACATGTAGCACCTATTACCAAATTCCTGATGTTTCTTGTTTTACTTGTTGACACTAGGCACACGAGATTCTAAAAGCTTAAACTGTCATTAGCAGTTCAGTTATATATAGTATCAGACAGCTCAAATACTTCTTGTATAGTAATATATTTGGATTTTATTGCTAGTCCATCTTTCAGCCTGTCCTTTAAATGACTACAGACTAATTTACTGTCTTCTTTCACTGCTATTTGATTTCAAAAGACAATGCAACAAGGGAAATTATTACAAAAATAAAGTATTTATGTTTTTAATTAAAAGAAAATGGTAGAAAATGTGTGGCTTTTAGACTAAGGGTAAGTAATTAAGGTCGCATAGATTTGTTGGTTCTTTTTTTTCTTATTTTAAATTCCAAATCCAGTATCTGTGAACAGTGATTAAGTTAACCACATGCCTTCCTCCCCTCATCCCCCTGTAGGAGCACCTTCTTTTTAGTGCTTTTAATACTGAGGTGCCAACCCTGTACTTGCTTGGAACTGAAACAGCCTTTATGAATTTACAGTCGTTCTCAAAAAAGATGCCAGGAACTTCTCTACAAATAGACTTTTAAAGTCTGTTGCATTCTACTTTCTATTCTAAAATTCCCTTAGTTTAAACATGAGAAAACAGAGTGTTCTGCCTTTAAAATCTTTTTGGCATTGTGAGCCTGAATAAGGGCACGGAAGCTTTGAAATGAGAGGCCAAACATGCAGCTTACATAGAACTACAGAATGATATAGACTAAAATATCTCTAAAAGATATTGTGTCCAATTCTGCATTTATGTGCAAGACAATTTGTAACGCTGCTCAGTAAAGTCACTTTTCAGCTTGAAGATTCATGATTCTTTGTTTTTATAGCCTTGTTGTTTCTGTATTTCTCTTTACTTTTTGTCATGGGATTTGTTGTAAGCAAAATTGTTTGGGAGAAAGAATTATGCTTAGAGAAATTTGCTGGGTTTTTGAAACCCATGGATTTATCCATCACTCAGCTAGTCACAATACTTAGTAAATTAACAGAGCTGTGCCACCTCATATGCCATACTGACCAAGGTACAGTCACCTCTTTGTTTGATGTTTGTCTTCTCTTTCATCAGCCATAGAGTCCTAAGGTTGATGAGCAGTCTTGAAGTTAGTGCATTGCAATTGGACATCAGTGTCCAAAGCTCTCACTGAGAAAAGTCCCTGATGCCTTTTCCCCTCCTGCCTGCCACCCCCCAACCACCACCCCCCCGCCATTAGGCTCACTTGGAGCTGTTTCATACACTTGCTCTAGCAGTCCACTTATTTGCTCCTCACTGGTCTGCAGCCTTATGCTGTACTGAAATTTTATATAATAGAGTATACTATTAACAAATACTTGGTATGGTATATTGCAGCATCTGTAATTAGGTCATGTAATTTACATGAATGTTAAAGAGTAGCTATATATTCTTTTCTCTGACTATCCTCTATTCAAACTGTACATCAGGATGTTTAAGCAAAGGAGTCCCAAAATCAGTTTTCACCAGAAGTTGATGGCTACGTAAGTGGGGCCAATCTGTCCATAAATCCCAAGGGATACAATTATGCTGTGTGAGATGTGTGCCATCAGTTTGGACAATTGAAAGAAATCTACTGTTGCTGTTTAGCCTTCCTAAAAGGGTGTAATGCACCCTTTTCATTTCTCATTGCATAGGCTTATTTTTTTTTTTTTTTAAATGGGTGATTTAAAATTCTATAGCAGTTTGCTGTGCAGTGTATTGTACTCCTCAAGCTAAGAAAATGTAACCAGAAAATTACAGAGTCTAGGTGTGGAGTTCGCTGAGATAATGACAGAAGATGATGTGATCAACATTTCTAATAAAGGCTTAAGGCATGTTATTTACAACTGCTTTGGATGTTAGGCTGTAATTAATAGAAGGTATCCAATGAGCGCTCTCTTTGACAAACTGAGTTAGGGTAATTGAGCAGCCATCAACCTCCATTTAAAAAATGCCAATTTATTAACACACTTGTCAATAGGAGCTGTATCTGGCACTTTCAGAAATCAGGTCAGTGAGCTTTATTCAATGAGGTAACTTAGTCTAGTTAGTATCAAGATAACAATTTAGTTTATCTAGAGCAAGTCAATAGAATTTCTTTCAGGCTCCAAGTCATTCTGGTGGGTGATCAGTCTTTGTAAAAGTAATGAACTCTTATTAGTAACACAGTTCACAGTTCTTTACAGTACTGAATTTTGCCACCACATTTGCAGTAATCTCTACAAAATCAAAATACTTACATGGCAAAGTAGATGTTGCAGCTAATCTGAATCATAGAATGATTTGGTCTAGAAGGGACCTTAAAGATCGTCTAGTTCCAGCCCCCACCTGCCATGGGCAGGGACACCTTCCAATAGACCAGGTTGCTCAAAATGCCATCCAACCTAGCCTTAATCAGCCCCTGTAATGGGGTAACAAGAACTTCTCTGGGCACCTCACCCTCAGAAGCCAGTTCCTCACCACCTTCACAATGAACTATTCCTAATATCTAATCTAACCTTACCTTTAAAAACGGTTAAAATGAGTTTAAAGCCATTCCCTCTTACCCTGTCACTACATGCACTTGCAAAAGTCTCTCTCCATCTTTCCTGTAGGCTTTCTTTAGGTACTGGAAGGCTGCTGTAATGTCCCCTCAGAGCCTTCTCTTCATGTTTCAAACTATAATTTGTAGAAACTTAGTCATCGCCATGGGCGGGCAGGCAGGCAGAGGCAGAATTAATTATACCAGTACCAGTAAAAAAGAAACAATTCCAAATGCATATGGGTAAGGAAACCAGATTCTTGGATGAAAAGTATTCATTTTACCACACTTTTTTAATACGGTAGCATAAGACTTAATATCTGTTTAATGTTATGATCTGTGAACAGCAATCTTAACTTGAGAGCTAGAGACTGAATTATTCATAATTTAGGAGAAAAGGCAGAGAATAAAGTTCAGCCAAAGGTGAGATGAAATGTGATTGGAAGGGAAGAGGAGATAAGGGTTCTGTTCCTGGCCTGCTCTGTGACCTTGGGCAAGTAACTATCTCAAACAGTCTCTGATATTTCTCCTATCATTTTCCTGTCTTGGCTGTTTAACTTGTGAACTTTGTGAGGCAAGGATTGTGTCTAGCTACTGATGTACAGCACACAGGGGCCCTAATCTTAGTTGAGGCTTGTGCATATGGCTGCAAAACAGGAAATAACTAGCACAGTTTGTGTGAATCTCATTTGAGGAAGTTTGGAAGATGAGAGAAGTAAAGTAGAATGGTTACAGCAGTGACTTATCCTTCATCCCTGGAGTATGTATGCATTACACAACATTGACACAGGAAATTAATGCCCATTGTACCTGCTTTAGACTGTGACATTAATGGACTTGTTAAAATTGTTGTAATATATTTCTTTTAAAGAGTCGTTCTGGCAGTCTGACAAACCACCATTTAGCTCTAACAGTCAGCTTGATCTGCATCCTGAGCAGTAGACTTGTTGATTGCACTGAGAAGACTGAAGTTGCAAATGCGTCAGACTAGAATAAATTAAGGAGTTGAGCTTGCAGAGAGACAGAACAGGGCAGTGAGAGGTTACCGTTTCCAAGCTTGTTGATGACTTTTAAGGTTTGCACCATTCTCTTTTTGCTATCTAGATTTTGTCTTATTTTCACAAGCTCTCTCTTTTGTTCCATTAAAACTTTGAGCTTTGTCTTCCTGCTTGCCCAGCTCCCACACACAGATAAATTTGTTATTCTTCTCTATTGACTACTTTGCATAGGACAGCTCTCCTAAACTAATTTCTACCAGGTTTCTTCTCCGTTTTGCAGTGTTGCAT